AGAGAAACATTTGTATCCACTCACATCTCCCACCAGTATTTGCTGAATGCATATGCATCGGGTATTGTGCAAGATGCCAGGAAGGACAGAAGAGATGATGATGATGATGATGATGATGACAGTGACGATGTTGATGGCGGTGACGATGTTGATGGCAGCTAACATTTTATCAAGCGCTTTCTCTGTGCCAGGCACTTTACATGTATTAACACATATATTTCTCACAATAACCTGATAAGTTAATTCTTCTAGATGAGGAGGCTAAGGCATGAAATTAAACAATAATTTCCCAGGCATATAGAGCCAGGCAGAGATAAGATACAAGTGATTCTCAATGGGATAAAAGTGGTGGCTTCTGGGGAGAAGGAAGTGTGGGACAGAGAGGGGGGCAAAGGCTGTTGCTTTTCCTAATAAGTCGTGTAGAATTATGAGACCAGGTCAAGAGAAACCTGATAAATTAAACACTAAAAAGTAAAAGAAAGAAAAGAGGAAGTGTCCAGAGGTCTATTTTGATAAAGTTGGGGAGAGGGATTGGGTTAACCGGAGGGAGACTTGGGATCAAGAGAGGATTGGTTTAGGATGGGTCATTGATTGCAGGGAATGTTTGTGTGTTGACTAGAATGATCCAGAAGAGAGGGAGAGATGGATGCTGGAGGAGAGAGGGGACCCCAGGGGAGCACTGTACTGGAGCTAGGGAGACACTAGCTTTTCAGGGATACTTTTGCATTTTAATGAGAGGAAAAAGAATATGGGACTGCAGTGGTGGGCTCATAAATTGTGGTCGAAAGGCATGATGTTTTCTCTCACCCATTTCCTCCATGCTCAGAGAGGTGGGGTAACTTGCCCAAGGCAGCACAGCTCATAAGTCAGGTTCAGGGCTGCAGACTACTATGTTTTTCTCAATGAATCCTAGCTGCCTCTTGGGCCACTTGCAACCCCAAGCACCCACAGATTCCAAGAAAGAAGGTTGAGAATAGATGATTCCTGTGGTTATTTTACTTAGAATATTCTAGAATAAAATCTAAAACTGCTAAATAGAAATTTCCAGTGGACATTAGTCCAGAAAATCCAATCTTGTCCTGTGATGGATTTGCAGTGCATGTGCATTTACTAAGCCAATCTACTTCCATTGCTGACCAGTGAGAATGAGAAATAATTTCAGCAGCTCAATCCAACTGCACTGATTATCAGCTCCAAGAGCTGGTGCTGCCTCAGCTGGCCAGGGCTAGGAGAAGCAGGTGTGCAGCAGCGCTGAGATCCCTGTGGGTGAGCCCTAGTATGATGGGCACCCTCCATCCTGTGTGTGCATCTAGGGTTGTATTAAAGTCATTTTCCTACAGTGTGACCGCCTCAGAGAAACACGAGGAAACGACTTCAACTGGTGGCCAGTGGAAGAAAGAATCCATTACAACATGAAAGGAAAAATTGGCTGTGTTGGACCTACTGAGAGAAGGAGTGTGAAACCCAAATGGTGCCTTCGTCAGAACTTTTCCAGGTGATTTGGACTCTGGTTTTAGAATGCCACCGCTCTTAGGAATTTCCACTCCACGCTTCAAATTCTTCTTTCCTGCCCTCGCTCTTTTCTCCTCTCTCTATGCTCCTTCCCCTGTCCTCTGACTTGTTCAATGCTGATGATCTTCTAGAAGGTTGGGCTTCCTAAGCACAAACCCAACCTGCCACCAGCAATGTCCTCAGGGCTTCATGCTGCAGGTTTGGGCTGCTCTGTGTGCCCTGCCCCCGGGACTTCCTCAAAGGGACAGGAAGTGGCCTCCCCTGAACTGCCCTTCTCCCACCCACACACTAAGGCTCCATTGGTTACTAAAGGAGTGGGCAGCCTTCTCCACACTTTTGAACTTGACACAATGTGTCACTGGCAGGTAGCAAACGATAGGCGTTCAATAAATGTTGAAAGCCCATATGGGGGAAGTTATAGTAAAAATAGATGTAAATGGGGTAAAAGGAAATTGTCACCCAGACTGCTACATTTGGGAGGATCTTTAGACAACAGGATGGTGCCCAAGGATGCAAACTTCTTGTTTATTACCATGTCCTCAGGGTCTAGAATGGTGCCTTCATGTGGTAGGTCCTAAAACAGTTATGGAATGAATGAGCTCAGCTTACCCATCTTGTTCTATGGGTAGGGAAACTGAGTCTTAGGGCTCTACTATGCTATGCCCCAGAAGAAAAGAGCTTTGCCTTTCCAGTCCTTCTCAGTGGCTGAGCACAGGACCTGGCTCATAGCTGCAGCTCAGTAGATATTTGTGGAATGACAGAATAACTGTCAGGGCCTATGAAGGCAAACGGGACACTCAGGAAAGCTGGGTCCCCGCCTTGAGGAAAGCAGGGCCTGGGGGAGTAGAGATTTACAGTTCAGCAGGAAAGAGGCAGGGGAGGAGCACCTGAGCTTGCCCTGGGTCTGACCCTGGGCTCAGTGGCAAATTCAAGACTGGGCAGGCAGTCTGAGGACAATGACTGGGCCTAGCTGTGAGTCAGTCTTCTTCATTCTTAAAGGGATCCTCCAGTGCAGTGATTCTCAACATGGCTGCACATTCGAAACCACCTGGGGAGCTTTTTAAAACCCTAAAGTCAGGTCTACATTTCCTGAGATTCTGATTAAATTGTCTGGGGTGGGG